TGTTGTGTTTGTGTTTGCAGGGTGCAACGGAAAAAAGTGAGAGTATCATGACCTGGTGGATAAGTGCGTTGGACCAGCAAAATAAATGTGACACGGGCGCGGGGCGGTTGCGGACGGACAGGGCTGGGCTGATGCTGATCATGCACGTTTAACCGTCGGGCGGACGCGGGGAGCGAAGAGAGGCACAGAGGGTCGGAGGGTCGGAGGCGCCATCGCCGAGCCCGCGACGGGAGTGGCTCCCCCCCCCTCGTGGGCCGCGTTGAGTGGCCGCCTGTTGGCGATGTGCGATCCCACTGTCGCATTCTGCTCGCCGTCTGTTCTTTATGCCGTGATGCCGTCCGTCCAGACCGCCGTCGGTGGTGCAGTCGACAGTCGACACGGAGCGTGAGACGCTCCGATGCCGTCGTCCGCCCATCGGCAGCGCGCACCCGGCTCCTGAGACAATTTTTCCTGCTGTGCGACACCAGCCGCTCCGAAGGACCCATGCCGCCGGAATCGTGGCCGTGTCTGGAATTGTTGGGTCGAGAGGGGGCGTGGCCAATCCGGCATGGCATAGCATCGCATGGCATGGCATGTGATGACAGCCTTCAAAATGCCAAAATGACGGCACTCGACGTCAGGTCGGGGTCGGCCTCTTTTGCGTAATTGTTGGCTGTACCGTTCTTCAGATAGCAATGCCCGCCAGCTATATCAATATCATCGGTCAGTCGACGTCCCCTGCCAATTGCAATGAGTGGTGGTCGTACCTTTTTTGACAATCGTCACGCTCCTGCAGAGCCCGCCCGCCACAGGCACCCCCTTGTCCGTTTTGGTCTGGTATCGCTGGTTGTAAAACGCGCAGGCCGCGATGCAGTCCTCCAGGCTCGGCAGATACAGCTTCAGGATGTCGTGGATTCCCCCGTTCCCGTACTCCTTACCGACAGGGAAGTCGGTCCTGCAGAGCCGCACAAACGACTGCGCCGTCCCTCCCGACATCTTGACCGGGATGCTTTTGCCCTGGCCGTCGGTCGGCATGTACGTCGTCCCGTTGATGTTGGGGCAGCCGTCGTCGACCGGTGCCGGGGACGTCGCACCGACTGCACCGGCGCTGGTCGAGGTCGCTGTGGTGGTCCCTGTCGTCGCCGTCGGTGGTATACTCGAAGCCGCCTCGGTGTCTTTTGATGCTGCATCGGTATTACTATTACCGTGTGCACTGTGGATGGTGGTTAGCCGGGTTCTTCTTGTGTCCGCCCGTCTTCTCAGCGTACCGGGAGTCCGAATCCTTCGCGCACCGGTTGTGCGATGCTACCAGTCCTCCGCCAATGCCGCCCCCGATGGCAGCAGCCACGAAAAACCCGACGACGAATACTATAGTCCAAAAAGCCTTGTCTGACAGCCGCATCATCCTCCGGTTTTGCTCTGCCGGCGGTATCGGCTCGGAAGAGGGCACATATTTCGTGTATTCGGGGACCGGGATGTAGTCCCGGGACCCCGGGGGCGTGCCGAAGAGAGTCGCGCTCGAGTTGTCCCATCCTCGGGACGAGTAATCTGGCTCGACGATGTGAAGGAAGGGCGTCGATCGAGGATGGATGACCTGGGGGTATGGCGTGCGGGCTTCTTGGTAGAACGGCTCGTCGGGCTTTGGCGACACGGCCTCGAGGTTGGAGTACGTCTTCGTCCCGAACCCGAACCTGGAGGTTGCGGGAGAGGAGGATCCCATGGCTGCCGTCCGTCGACGGTCGATCCCGTCGGTCTTTGATCACTGTCGCATCTGAATAAAGTGGTTGGAGTAGAAGTTCCTATGTATCAAACGAGACACGCCCTCTGACCTTGGGCGCGGTCTGGCCTGGTACCGGCACATGTGCCACTGCCCAGGGGCTGGCCTCTGGTCGTAAAGATAGTGGCCAATCAGGCCTGGCGTCTTTGGGACTGAAGGATCCGGGGAAACATCGCGTCTGTCGCTTGCGGTGCCCAGAGAAAACACGGGGCACACCCGCGGCACGACGACTCCATTTTCGGGCTGGCTTGGTATGGCAAGCTTGGTATTTTGAGGGTGTGGCAGTGCGAGTATAGGTCGATGAGGCGCTTTTCCTCGCAAGTGCGCGGCTGTTAAACGTTACAGAGCTGTCGTGAGGCGCGGTCTTCAGCTCCTTTTCGCTTTCCCAACTCGCCAAGCCTGGTGTTTTCGCCAAGACCTGTTCCTGGGCTAGCCCCCAACGGCTAGCCTACGGGCCCTCGGGCCCACCCTGGACCCCTGTCACAACCCTTCCAGGTCATGGATCATCCGCCGATCTTCATCGTGAGATTCCTGACCTCATCACCTTCTTTCAACCTTCAAAAGTTCAACCTACAACAATACTGACCCCTCGCCAAGGACGTGATGTCTCCATTACCGATTCCTTGCGTCCTTGGGGTCTGGTTAGTAAAAGTATTGGAATACGGTTCCAACTTTAGGCCTTGGCCGATGTCTCGAATGTCTAGCGCTAACAAATAAACCAGCTCTATATATTCCATCATCCCCCGTTCCCTTTACCGGTACTCTTCCTCTTCCGGCTCTGTAAAAAATCCTCGCTCCCTCTTCGGCTTCGTACCCGAAGCAAACGGCAACTTCAGCGCCAGCAGTCCGGCCATGACAAACACACTACCACTCACATACACCGGCCACACCGTTTCCAGGTTCGCATATATGGCGATGATGGGCTGCAAAACCCCCGTCAGTACGCTTCTCAGCACGCCCCGAACATCGGAAAACCTACCGCCCCAATCCCAAACAACCGATTGCTCAGGGCCGTCAGCGCACTCCCAGTCCCGAACTGCTTCGCTGTAAACAGGTCGGACGTATAGCTGTAAAGCACGCCATACATGATGGTCCCGGCAAAACTGAACCCGCAGTTCCACCCCACCAGGGCCTTCGACGTCGTCGCCGTCGTGGACCCGAACAGCATCAGCCCCGTCACCACCGTCCACAGCGCGAGCGTGCCCTTACACCCCCCGGGGCGCGGTCTGTGAACGAGGTACCCAGTCGCCACCGCGGCCGGGATGCCCAGGGACGCGGCGGCCAGCGCGCCCCTGTACGTCACTTTGAGCGAGCCGTCGCCGAACTCGACGCCGCGCGTCGCCTGGATATACGGCAGGAAGCCGTTGTACAGCGGGTAGGCGAGGCCGATGAGGGCCCAGACGGCGATGATCAGGCCCGGGGAGCGCCCGGTGGCGAACAGCTCCCGCACGCGGTAGACGCTGATGGTCAGGAGCCGACTGTTGACGATGGAGGGGGCCCTGGGGTAGTGGTAGACGTAGCCTGCCGGCTCGCACGCCTGCAGGTCGCGGAGCGTCAGCCTCGTGGGGGTGTTGTTTCTCTTGGCGATTGCATGGATGATCTCGACGGCTTTCCAGTCCAGGCCGACCCCCACGAGGTACGTGGGCGACTCGTGGACGGTGAACACCATAGTCCGCATCATCCACATGAGGAACATCGGGCCGCCCGTGACCATGACGACGTATCGCCAGCCCCAGTTGTCCTCGCGGACGCAGCCTTCTCGCTCCAGGCACGAGAACTTTCTGATAAAGTGCCAGCCAACCATGTTGACGTACAGCTGGGTAAGGGCCCAGATCATGGACAGCGAGGTGAGCAGCCATCGACGATTCGGCGGCAGGAACTCGAGAAAGAGGGCCGACTCGATGGCGAAGTTGCCGCCCACGCCAAACGACCACAGCGCCACCATGGCCACGGTGGTGGCATAGCCTTTTCCCAGGACCGCCGGTACCGCAAACGCGGGCACGAGCATGAACGGGATGTTGAAGATTTGCTTCCGTCCAGCAATGTCGCTGGCCGAACTCCAAAAGACGGCGCCGACGAAGAGGCCGATATTCTGAGCGAGGGACAGCAGCTCCGGGTGGCTGGCCCGGTATTCGATGGCCACGGGTTGCAAGATGAGCGACGTCACCACCGGCCACATGTTGTCCACGATCCAGCCAAAGGCGACGACCAAGAACAGCTGGTACTGATACCATCCCATTCCCATCTCCCTGATCTTGTTGGACTGTCAGCTGGCTCGCTCGGCGAGGGGGGAAGGGCGGGAGAGTACGACGTACCGCGCGACGGATCACCAAAGCCTTGGCCTCGTAGACCAGGTCGGCGCCCGTCGGGGTGGGTGCGAAGTCACGGATGGAGATGGAGTCATCAATGACGTCAAATTCGTCGACGACGGTGTCGTCAACGACGGTGTCTTCGTCGGCGATGTCCCCCGTGTCGTTAAGCCGCCTGCTCGAAACCACCACTCTCTTGCGGCGGATGTCGTTGAGGGGCATTGTCGGACGGCAGAGCCGAGCGACGGCAAGCCCCTTCCCGCGCGCGGATATATATCAAGGGCGTGGCTATCGATGCCTCGGGTGTAGGTGATTTAAACGAGGGTTGGTATCTGGTCGCTTCAGGGCGTCTCGGTCTTGGTCGTTGGGGGCATGGACTCTGGTGGGATGGGGGGTAGAACGGTCCAGCGTGCTGTGTCGATACTGATTCTTTATGCAAGGCCGCATACTTCCCCCCGGTGTCCGGCGTATCGACGTCGATGTGATGCTGATGGATTGATGAGCTCCCCCCTACTACTACACAGGATCGTCCATTTGATCCAGAGCTCCTAGAGTAAAGACTCCAGGTCGTGGTCGAAGAGAACCAACAAGAGATAGAGACCTCCCAACCCCTGGGATTCAGGAGCTTCTTGCCATGATCAAGTTGTCTCTTGCAATTACAACATCGGAACATGACCCGACCACCCTATTAAACCCCCCGCAGCGTGGCTCGATTCAATACAACTTCATGCAATGCAACTGACACCCCCACCCCCCTCCCCCCCCCAAAAAAGAAGCCAGCCATCAATCACCCAACCATGTACAAACCAAAACAAACCCCTGACAGGGATGCCATGATCCATCAACGTCCACTCCACCCGTGACCCATCATCACGAGCATCCACCACCACCCCCACACCTCAAAAAGGAACCACACGACTCAGGGAGGCAAAAATTGTTCATACCAGGGATCGAACCTGGGACCTTTCGCGTTCCGGAGCGGCTCTTGCGAGTGTTTCCTGTGAGGCGAACGTGATAACCGCTACACCATATGAACTTGTGGGAAGGTACTGATAATGGGGTTCAAGGAAGGAGGGAGTGCTTGGATGTGGACTCCACCACCGGGGGGGGGGGGTCGAGAGTTGAGGCACCAGTGTGGATGAAAGATTAGGAAAGACCTTTCGAGTCTTCTTCTCGGAATGCCAATGGCTGTTCCAACCACATTCGTCACACCAGACAGACAAAAGGGATCCGGATGTTCCCATTTTGAGCGCAATGCTGTACAACCAAGAGTATGGGGGACCATCTTCTCGACCAAGTCTGCGAGACCGAGACAGGCTTGGGCTGGTGGTTGGGTTGGAGATGACCTCATACCAACAGAACGTCCTCCACCACAGGAAACCGGGCCACCGCCTCCCCGTGCATCATCCCATGCACATACGCCTCTCCCAGAAACTCGTAGCTCGTATCCCCAACACGCCTGAGAACCACCGGCGTCTTTGCGCCATCCAACACCCACAACTGATCCCCGCTTCGCGCATCCTCCGGCCCCAAGCCCAGCATCTGTCCACCCTCGAGCATGAAGAAGCACCTTTGGTTCAGCGAGCTCCTGGACTGTCGATCAAAATCCCCCCTCTGCAACTGCGGCAGCTCAACCTCGCGAGTCTTTTCATCCGTGGCGGGCGCTCTTGTCTCGTGGCCCGCGGTCACGTTTCTGTAGACCGTGGCGCCTCGTCTCCATCGGTAGATTGTCTCTTTCAACTTGGGCATAAAGATACCCCAGCCATACTCGCTACCGTAGGGTTCGCGAGTTGCGAGCGTAGCAAGCCTGAATCCAATGGAAGACAGGTCACGCCCCAGACAGGCGAGCATGGTCACGTATTCTTCCTGTTGATCGATTTCGAGGCCCGAGTTCAAGCAGTTCAAGCAGATATCGATGAACTGGTTGAGGGCCTGTTTGGCCAGATCAATTTCAGGGGCTGGTGATACCCCAGAGAGAGTGTCCCGGGTGAGGGTTCGGGCGACAAGCTCGAGAAGAGAGTCGTGGGTTCTATGGACCGGTTAGCTCTTTGAAGTCATCCAAACAACATTGATAGGAATGGCCGTGGCGACCTACCCCTCTGGGATCGAAACCAAGGCTGCAAATAAATTCGCCCATCGATCCCAATTGTGACGTTCGAGGCTCTCCACTGTTGATTGCAATGCGCCGATACATCGACCCCGGACCGCGAGTTCTCTCTCGTCCAGTGATCTCGAGTCGATCCTCCACTTCGCAGGGGACGCTGCCCACGTCCAACCCCCACCATCACCAGTCCCAACATCCATGGCCCCGCAAGAGTGCCGGGCACTGAAGTCGGGCACCCAAGAAGGCAAGCCGGGGACCCTCCTCTCGCTGTTGGACTCCCGCAACCGCAAGATCCGGAGATCGCCGTGTAAGCTGCAGAGGTATCTTGCCGTCCGTGTGTAGACCAACGCAACAGGTGCTCTATAGTCGACCTGCAGTCCGTCGAGGCCACTCTCGCCATCTTGTGCTGCGTCACTGGCCAGACCAAGAAAGGCGTATATCTTGTCTCGTGGGTCGGTCGCCTCCGTGTCCCGATGTCTCTCGAGCAGGACGTCCAGCGGCAATCCGCCACCTCCCGTCCCCAGGCCGGACAAGTCGGGATTCCTGTCCAGAACCAACGAGACATGTCTCTTTGCCCCAAGCTCATCGACGACCAAAAGCATGTGCCAGTCATCCAGGGGCAACTCGGAGCCGCCCTCACCGTCCTCATCATCCGAGCCAAGCATCGAATTCCTGATCCCCCGGAGCACTTCATCAGTGATCCTGTCGCTCCCCCAGGCCCCGACAGACTCAATGAAATACACCGCCCTCTCGAACGCGTCCCACGGAATCAGCGTCAAGCCCATCACCAAATCCACCCTCCTCGCCTTGAGCACCTCCTGAACAATCCACGCCCGTCTGAAGTACGGCCGCGCCACAAACGCCAACCAAGCCTTCCACTCCGCCAGCGTGATAAACCTCGTCCCCAGATCCGCATACGCCTCGGGCTCAAGAAAGTCCGCAAACGTCAACCACGCAAACCGCCCGCGTGCTTCCTCCCTATCACACCGTCAGCACCTCTCCCAAACCGTGACCACCCAGACACAACGTACCACTCCCCCTTCGTCCTAACCACCCTCCCCAACCCCTCCAAAGCCTCCACCACCCCCTTCAAAACCCCCGCATACGGGTGCTGATCCCCCACCCACGCCAACACCCCCTCCGCCGCCCCATACACCCCCGCCATCAACCTCACCTGCCCCTCCCGCTCCTCCACATTCCCCTGGTCAATACAAACCGCGTCAATCCACAACCACCCGCCCCTCGGTACGCGCGTGAACGACGTCCCGACCAGCGCGCGAAAGAGGTTGCGGCGCACGGGGAGCGCGTGGCCGTTGCATGTGATTTCGTGGGCGGCGGTGGTTTCGAACACGGAGCGGAGGGCGTCGGGGTCGGGGCGGTAGATGATGTCGGGGGAGCCCCAGTTGTAGGAGAGGGCGGTGAAGGGGGGGAGGGCGGGGGAGGTGAGGTCGAAGGGTTGGAGGTGGTAGGAGAGGTGGAGGGGGGACGTGGTTGAGGAGTCGTGGAGGGGCTGGAGGAGGCGGATGCTGTGGGGGGAGGGGAGGGGGGTGGAGGCGTATAGGGGGCTGGATGCGGGCATGGTGGTGGGTGTGGTTTGTTTGGGGTTGACTGTGGGAGAGGGAAACAGATGGGGGGATGGTTGCCTTTTGTTGGTGGTGGCGCCCGTTTGGTCGGATGCTGCCAAGTGTCGATAGTTTAGGTTGTCTGCTTGGCCTGCGCAAAGGGGCTGAAGAGCAGGGGCATGATCGGGTTAGAGGACTATGTAGGTGAGTTGCCGTTACGAGAGGGTTGCATGATCCATGCCCTCAAGGCTAACGGGGGTTGGTGTTGATTCAACACACCCGTAAGCTGAGAAGCCCTGGATAGGGCGGTGCTTCGCCGTGTGCCAGTCTGATATCTGAAACCAGTTAGGTACCTAGAGACATTCTCTTCTATAAACACCAGGCCCAGTCCATCGTACCTTGGAGAGATAAAGTCAGAAGCGAGTCCATCCATTATATCACCGCTTTACCCTCTCACACCATCTTCTATCCAATATGTACTTGATCTTCCTCCTCAACCCCAGCATTCTCAACAGTCGCCGTCATGTAAAATAACCAGTAGAACATGTGTGGATGTGATGTAGTTTGTAACCGCCCACCTGCCGCCATGCCCAACCGTCTGCCTGACCCCAAACGAAAGGAAATATTCAAGAGGAACCAACGGGAAACAAGGAGAGACAGATGCCCATACCACCACCGATAATTCAACGCCTAGGCATCTGAGCCTCAAGTAAACCAGAAAAGAAAAAGACAGTGTAAAAGTGCATGTTTTGCTGCTGCGCCGCCTCTGTGGCTCGCTTTTTGGAGCCTTGTTCCCCTCCCCTCCCCTTCCCATGTCGTCGTCCACGGCAATGGTCTTGCGGTGGCGCGGAGAAGGGGGGACGCCCATGCCAATGTCATCCATTCATCCCACATCCGCGCTGTGGTTGTTGTGCACACCCCATCATCTGTGTTGGTGTCGCTCGCTCGCTCGCTCCCGGTGTCCTTCTCTTTTTGGACCCGATATCTGGGTATACCCCCCCTACTCCGCCCACTCGACCTTTTCCTTGACATTCAGCGCCCACTTGAGCTTGCTCAGCACCTCCCTGGCCTCCTCGAGCGTGCGCTCCTGCTCCTCCTCCCGCTGCGCCGCCTTGCTCTTGATCTCCCGCAACGCGTCCTCCTGCTCTGCCTTGTACCTATCAAACTGCCGTGCAATATCCTCCTTCTGCCGCCTCAGATCCCGTATATTCCCGTCCTGCTGGTCGCACAGGTCCCTCAGCGTGCCGATGCGGTCGTCGTCTTTCCTCCGCTCCTCCAGCAGCGCCGCCACCTCCTTGCGCATCTTGCCCATCGACCTTCGCACCTCGTCGCCCTGGTCGCGCCAGTGGCTGCTGATGGCCGTGTACCGCCCCTCCATCAGCGCCGCGCGGCTCGTCGCCTCATCCACAGCACGCTTGGCCTCGTCGCGGCCGCGCTCCATCTCGTCCTTCCACACGCGCTCGCGGTCGCCCGCGGCGACGGCGCGCGACCGCTCCAGCTCCACCGACGCCTGCAGCGTCTCGACCTGGCGCTCCTTGCGCGCCAGCAGCGCCTTGGTCACGTTGGCCTCGAGCAGCCGGCTCTCGTAGTCCGACACGATGCGCTCCAGCTTGTCCTCGAGCAGCCGCGCGGCCTGCTTGGCGTCCTCGGCCCGCGTGCGCTCCACGTTGAGCTCCCGCCGCAGCTGCTCGTTGTCGCTGACCAGCTTGTTGATGACGCGCCCCGTCTTGCCCAGCCCGGCCTTGCCGACCGTCGAGTCCCACGCCGGCTCGTCGCCCCCCCGCGGCGGGTGCTCGTAGCCGTTTTGTGGTGGGGTCGGGGCGCCCATGGCGCTGAGGCTGCTTTCCCGCTGGGGGATCTCGACGCTCGCTCGGGTGGTGGTTGGTTTGGGTATGTCGAGGAGGCTGTCTGGGGGGGTCGGTTTGGTTCGTGGGGGGTTGGGGGAGGCTCTGCTCTTGCCGATGGGTGTCTGGGTGTTGTAGTCTTGGGAGCTCGAGACCATGCTCACTGTGCTGTTGACGGAGCTGGAGAAGCCGGAGCCGCGGGATGTGGCGTGGGACGGGGTCCCGTCGGGGCTGGAGTCGTCCGACAGCCTATGCCTGTCGTCGGAGCTGGTGACGGTGCGGATGGTGGAGTTCATGCGCGAGGGCAATTGGCTGTTCTGGAGGTAGGATGGGACCGAGGGTAAGGGCTTTGCGTTGACGGGCGCTCGAGACATGGCCGCCGCGTTGATGGCACCCTGGGAGGCGATGGAGAGGGTGGATCGGGCTGGGGGGCGCTCATGCGAGGGCCTCGAGGTCCTGTTCGGGGCGAGGTGGTGGAGTTGCGCCGCGGCTTGCGCCGCTTCCGTTATTTGGACGATGGCGGGCG